ACCATGCCCATGGAATGCCTTACTACAAGAAACAAATTCCTAGTAGCCATAGCACAAGTTTAATGGAGACTGAACAGAGGCTTTCCATATAGAAAACACTTAAACTCATGAAATTCCTGAGTGACAAAGAGCTCAAATTTGGAAGACAACACAGAGAGACTATCATACATGCCTGCCCTGTTCTTGTGCTCTTTCACTGTGACAAAGAGATACTCCAGATATGTCCACAAAATGTTTATTCCATTCCAGGTTTCAAAACACTTTCCTGCAAGGGACCAGCCAGAACTGATGAGCCACAGGAAAACTGTCTAAAAATTCTTACTAATGCTTTAATGTTTGCAGTGATCAAGCAATCTAACAGGAGAAATCCCTAAATAATACTAACTGTTTTGTCAACTTTCATATAAGAGAGTAAAAATTGAAACCGTTTTTACAATTGGGAGTGGGGATTTTTCCTTATCTCAAACCTATTAGTTTAGAATTGGCAATCCCAAAGACATGCAAAGATACTTTATCCAAGTCCTCAAAAAACACTCCCCTCAAAACTTCAAAGAGAAAAAAAAAAATCATACAACTAGAAGCAATCCCATAAAATGCTTAAATCCCGTCCTAGATGCAAATACCATATTCCTGTAATCTTCATACTCATAGAAAGCTTTTTATGCTCACTGCCTGGAACTCCTTCATTTCATTTTAAAAATTTTTTCACTGCATTCTGTCTCCTACATTCTCCACGCAGTCTCTCAAAAGTCTCATCAGCAAATAATGTAACATGCTTTTATGACACCACACTGTCATCTACTTCCATTCAAGACTACCTCCCTTCCACCAAATCTCAGTATCTAATAACCTCTCAGACTTCCAGCAGCCAGCTGGAGATCAGAGTTCTTACTTTCCTTCCACACCCAAAAGCTCTTTCTCAATTAGCAGATTTGTTACTTTCCACACCACAGCCACTTATATTCCTAGCCCAAAGAAGTTTTGAACTATTATCTCCCTAAATTCTGCCACAATTTGGATAAGCTTCATCAATTTGTTCTGCGAAACAACTTTTCATCTTAGGTAGACTTTTATCATCTTTCATTATTTCAACACCCTTCTCTCTGGTCTAGAACAAAACAGAACAAACCCAGCTGCATCGACTTTTCCTGGTCACATCTGTGTGGAATGCTTCTCCAAAGGACATGTAACTTCTCAGTGGCTTGGGTCAGCTGACAAAGGATGAAGTACACATATACATCTCTCTGCATTATAGGGGGAAAAACCTCCCCCCCCCAGAGAAGAGCAAACAATCTGTTGCTTCTTCTAGGAGGTTGTTCAGAGAAAAACTTCTCTTTATCCCTTTCCAGGCCAGCTACAAGGAAAAAAAAAAAATCTTCTGACACTACTCATGCCTTGAATCCTCCAGCTAACCAGGACAGTTATCTGGTTTTGCTTTCAAAAAAGTTACATTTGAACTCTGCCCTGTAGCCAGCTGAATCAAAATGCTGACTTCAAACTGCTAATTGATCATCATCTGTAGGCTCTAGCACATACTGGCCAGGCTTTCCTACATTAGGAAGAGGTTTGTCCAGTGCTCTGCCTTATGACACACGTGAAGAAACTTCCCATCAGCTACACTGCCTCTTCACCAAAATCACTTACACTGAACAACATGGTCTCATTTCTCTTTACTCCATCAGCTTCCCCAAACTGTGCTTCTAATTGGAGTCAACTCCAACAGATGTATTTGCTTGATCCTACATGCAAACAATACTACTAATAAACAAAACATGTAGACAACTCTCAAGTAACAAGGCAGTTGCTAGTCAAAAATGTAAGATATGTAAGCAACTCCCCCCCATTTCCTGCATTTTTAACAGCCCTAAACAAATAGCAGAAGGCTGTTGTAGTACTTTGGACTGCTTCAGAGTATGATCAAAGATAAATAATGAGGTTGGCTCTCCATTACCAACTCAATTCCAGTGACTTTAAGTCAGTTTAAGAACTGTCATGGCATTTCCAGACAAAAATAAACATAGAGTCCTTAGGATCTGACAACATTTCTCTCCTGCTGAAGCGAAGCTGTGATTGGAAGTAAAAACTGAAAATATTATTGGGATATTAACAAGGTTTTCTTTCAGGAGTGGATATTAATTGAAAGCAGCTGAAGTCGGGGTGGGGAGAAGATTGCTGCAACTCTGCAACTTCAACAGTATCTCCTTTCCTGGGTACAGTTTTGATTGTCAAACCCGTTATCCTTATTTCACAGCCACATGGAATGGGGACTTGGAAAAGATTCTGATGGCAGGTACCATATATTTTCACAAAGAATCTCCTTCCTGCTTCAACCTCTCACAAGCTACTTTGTGTATCTGAACACCCTAAACTACCATCACAGCAAATGGCTCAGTCAATGGGCACAAGTGAGACAAAACAGGTCTGCTTTTGAAGCCAGAGGTTATGAAGGAAGACTAAGACATGTGCAACACTCCTCTATCCATTGAGAGAATGAAGGAAGTCTGCTACAGCACGTAATCTCAGTGTTCACTGAAAAATGCTGGGTGCTTTTTTAGGCTGGTAACCCATCATCTGACTGTTGGCCATTAAAACTGCACTGGAAATCACGGAATCTTATATTGTGCCACCCAAAAATGCACATAGCACTAGAGGTGAGGCTGCACTGAGTAGAGGGGGAGAATCACCTCTCTCGACCAGCTAGCGATGCTGAGCCTGATGCACCCAAGGATACAGTGAGCTGCTGCAATTGCTTCTGAATTGTGTTTGCTTCTGGCATTTCCTTAATTTTCAACAGACTACACATAGGATCAATAAATATTGAAAACAAAGTAGTTACATTAAGAGTCACCTTACAAGAAATTCTTGACTTTCTCAATAACATGAGCGCTGTTTCAAATTTCAGAGAAATGAACTTCAGCTCCAAGGCCAACAACTCCAACACTCAGAGTTCCTATAAGCACCATTTCCCAGCTCTAAAACAGAGATAATTTACTAGTGTATTAAAAAAAAAAAAGTTCAACTTAATAACACAACTAGATCCAAGAAGTATGTAAAACTGAAGTAAAAAGAAGTCAGCTCTCTCCTTGAACCAAAGCCAAACCATTAATTTGCAGTATCTGCTGACCAGACCTCACCTCATGGCAGTCTACACCTTCCTTGTGAGGGGAAGAGGAGGGGCAGGCACTGATCTCTTCTCTGTGGTAACCAGTGACAGGACCTGAGGGAATGGCCTGAAGTTGTATTAGGGGAGGTTTAGGTTGGATATTAGGAAAATGTTCTTTCCCCAAGGGTGGTTGGGCACAGGAACAGGTTCCCCAGGGAAGTGGTCACAACACCAAGCCTGACAGAGTTCAAGAAGTGTTTGGATGATACTCCTGGTACACGGTGTGACTCTTGGGGACGACCCTCTGCAGGGCTAAGGGTTGGACTGGATGATCCTTGTGGGTCCCTCCCAACAGCATATTCTGTGATTCTGTGATATATGTCCAACTGCTTATTTAGAATAACAATTTCAACCAAAACCAAGTCCCAGCAGAACTGGAGTTGACCTGGACCTTGCTATACAGCATATGAAGCTGAATCCTGTCAACTTGAGCTTCCAGCCAGTGATCCCACAAGTAAGATCATACCTCCCCACATCTGCAGGCATCTGTCTGTTCCTTTTTGCACATGTACCTACAGACATATCACATTTGAGATGAAAGGAACCTTGACTACACCAGTAGCCTCTCTCCTCCTTTTCTGTTGGTACCACTTTTTGTTTTTTTTTTTTTTCAAATCACAGCCCAAGCCTGCAGATTTTCCTGAAGCTTTACTCTTATGCTCCACAGTTATCAAGCTGGAAACAAGCTACAGGGCTAGACTTGTAAGGGAAATAGAGTTTAGCCTCCAATACAAAGTTGGGGACAGAAGCAAGAGCCTCTACCTGTTAAATGACATTTGCTTCCCATAACCGGGAAAGAACATCTAGATTCAGTGCAGGAAAAAAAACCAAGATTGAGAAGGAGGTAGAAATGAGGACAGATAAAGTAGAATGAGAATACTGCAGATGGTGGGAAAAGAATATGAGTAGAACTATACTATGTGGCTTAGAGAGGAGGACAAGAAAATACATAGGAGAGAAAGAAAAGGTAATGCACAGAACAATGCAGGATGTGATATATTGTGACCCAATGTAGGAGAGAAGCAAAACCAACTTGTGAGCCCCATGTCAAGGGCTGCAGCTCCAACATCCAGACAGGGTGGGGCATATGAAGAAACCAAAATCCAGTACCTTCTCTTCAGATTTCACTATGTGGGTAGTGCTATGTGCCTAGACTTACTCCAACAGGCAGACAACAAAATCACCTGGCTTAACACTGTACATCTGCCCAGTGGTCACAGTTTACATTAAACTCCCATTCTCCAGGTCCAAAACCAAATAGTACTTTCAATCTTTAGTGATATCTTTAACAATTAAGCAACATTAAAAAAACTCAGGTGAAAACAACGGCCCTCACTGTGAGTCTTTTGCTTAGTGGGGTGATTCTGCACAGACCTCCTCAGCTGCAGGAGACTGGTTCTTGCTCTAAAGCATTCACGGCTTGCAGTAACTTTGACAACACAGAAAACACTTCTCAAGTCTTGGCCTGTTAAACTAATCAATAATTTCGTATAATATAGGAAACAGAGCTTCCTGCCCCTTCCAAACCATCCTAAAATGGTAGATTACTATTTATCCAAGAAAGCTGACTTGAGAAAAATATTTCTGGAGTTATCTTCATTGCTATAAAACTCCTGAAAGTTTTCTGTTCTGCAGTACTGCTATAATGGACTTTTTTATGTTAATCCTGTAGAAAACACTCAACAGATCAAAACAACGGAGCACTGCAGAGCACAGTGATTGTGACACCTCTCTGACCTCCACACAGGTATTTTTTCAGCTCTTAACTTTTGCATACAGAGGGAGAGAGATACAGGAAATACTGAGCTTACAAGTATGTGAATAGAAACTGACTCACCACAGTCCTTTGCTTGTTGGGCAGGAAGACTCTAACAATAGGCTTCTGTGGAGACTTGGGGTTATTCCGTGACATATCAGCAGGGTTTTGATAAACTGAAAGGGACGAAGGTGCTACGGAGAGGCTAGAGGAGGAAGATGATGCAACTGTGTCTGTTGAAGCTGAACTGGAGACAGAGAAATCAGTTCCATTCCCCATGGACTCCAGTAACTGCTGTTCTCTCTGCTGTAGAGCATCAAGCTTGCTGGTGTACTCTTCGTAGGCCTGGGGAGGAAGAGCAGCTGTTTTAACCACGGAGTAGCCTCAGACAAAACCAGAAATCTAAATTCACAACAAACATGAAACAAAACACTTTCTAAACCAGATTTCTCAGGAATATGAACACAATAGTCTGTTTAAATGTTTCAGGAGGACACAATGAAGAAACAGCTCTCGATACATTATTTTAAACCTTATGAACCAACAACTAATGTTTTAATAAATTAAATGGATCAATGGATAAAAGAAATTGTAAGTTACAGCTTCAAAGCACCTGCTCTACAGAGTCTAATTCATAACCACTTTAAAAAAAAAAGACAGAAATCTTTCACAAATGTTGTCAACTGTGTTGCTGAATTACTGTGCTCCAGATAAATTTTTCATTCTGTTGGAATGACAGCTAAATACATCTAATGTAATAATTACGAGAAAGCTCAAATCTGCTTTTTACCATCTACATCCGATAACTCACCCAGCTCACGGTACACCATCCTCCCCCTCTAGCACTGTCCTTTCATACCAAATAGTACAAAAAACTTCAGTTAGAAAACACCACAGTTTGCTCTGTTTAAGTCATTCATAAACACATAAAAGTGATTCTTTGAAAGAACTTTTTTAACACCTGCATAAGATCAATTTGATTTTCCACAATTTTACATAAAACCTGATTACACAGTGACCAAGTTTTTTAAACAAACAAACAAAAAAAATCAGTATTATTAAATTTTCCCATTAAGTCTTAATTATATGTAGTCAAGTCAAACATTATTGCCAAGACCTATAATACAGACACATAACCAGTATATATATTTCTTTAAATTTTGTTTCCCACAACTTCGTAGCATGTAAATTTTGATCTGTATCCAAGTATCAGAACAATTCCTTCAGTACATCATTTAGTACAGAGTACCTTCAAAAACCTGAATCAGTTAAGTAACGTGATTCACACTACAGATACTGGCTATTGGGCAGTTAGCCAAGCACATGTTCAGATCTTTACAGAAAAGAAGAAACAAATATCTTCCAAACCTAACACTTAAGTAACACTTAACACTTAAGGGGAATCTTCTACTTTTCTCTATAGCAAGATCTATACAAAGTTGCATAAATTTTTCAACTATACTTTCAAGTATATTTACATAAAAGAAAGATACCTTTTGGTTCTGTTTTTATTTATTTGCTCTCCTAAAGTTTTCTGTGCATAACATATTGCTAATTAAAGTCACAGGAGAACTGAACTGACCAACAAGTGTCTGCAAGGTCTACATGTGGAGACAAAAAATTCAAATCAAGAGAAAGAATAACCAGCATTCAGTAGTACAGGCACAAGTACTACATTTTACTAGGAATTATTTCTCTGGATTCTATGTGTAGGGTCACCTAAACCAAACTGGTTTTGTTGAGTGAAAGAGCAGCTGGTCCCTTGCTTTTTATGAAAGTTTAGCATCCTCTCAGGATGAACCTCTGCTCAAAATGTATCATCGATCCCACAATGTTAACAAAGCAAATGATAATTTGACAGTGAGGACTAAGAAAGGAAAAGCATTTTAATGAAGGGTGGTGAAGATCAGTTTAAAATTCTAAATTTTATGGGTTCCATCTTTAATAAACGGACATACGTTCAGAAGCTGAAAACTACTTACTATTTCCTTTAAAAACTGAAGATGTTGGGTATTTCACAAATAGACCCCAAACTCTGAGACTAAAAACCAAAACATTTTCACTCTAGCGTCAATTCTACTGTCAAAAGTAAACTGAAAGGTTACCCAACTATAAATAATGGCATTTTTTGGCTGTACAGTAACACAAGTGTGTCTCTTCCACTTCCAGGATCAACTTTTCATGGAAATTCAAGTAAAAGCTCCATGTGTCAAGAATAATTTTCAGTAAACAAAAATTAAGAAACATAAACTGTTACCATTTCACCAATAGTTTTCTAAATACTTACTTCCTTTTCTCATGAGCGTTGCAAAATATTATTTGAACACACGCAACATTACACTGGTTCCGGATACTTGTGGGTTTAGTTCCTTCACAAAATTACACACATCTTTCAAAATACTCAATCCTACAATGTTTACCCTGGCAGCTTGATCTGTCAGTAATGCAAACTCAAAGTCAAATGATTTATCTTAAGAGAATAAACAGTGAGTATGGAAAGCTGGGAGCTGCTGCTGGCTTTGAGTTCTATACCAGTAACTTCTGCAAAAAGCTCTCCACTTCTTATGAGGACAAAAGCTCTCACGTATCATACTGTTATTTGGTGTCATAGCAGAAGATCCCATAGCAAAACATAACAGAACTAGAAATGCATTGGTAGACTCTAAATATATTTTCCTCTTTAAAAAATCCCCACCTCTTTCTATACAGAAGGAGTAACAGTACATGCAGCAGAAACAGAATAGCTCCAATAAAATCTCATTTCACAAAAATTAATTACTTTGGAGAAATATTGGTTTCATCTGGTGGCCCACATCAATAGACCTCACATAGCTAACAGCACCAAGTCAAGACAGAATTATCCCATGGACTTAAATTCAAAGAGTACTACAACAAAGCTGACCTATGGCAAGTATTTCCAGCTAAAAGAAAGATGATGTCGCAGCGTTGGCCTGTGTACAAAAGAGACCTGCAGCAGCACAGACACCTTTGCAGACAGACATCAACACCTACACAAACCTTCAAGTCAGTCAAGGCCTTCTGGGTCAACTATGAGGTTTATTTCTGACAGTGTTTTTCAAAAACAAACTAAAAAAAAATAATTAAAATTAAGTTTGTGCAGCATCTACAGCATGGAAGAGATTAAGATGAACATTCAAAAAGATCACTAAATCAAAGATTTAAAGGCATTTCAGTAGGGTTTATGAAATCTAGACTGCAATCCCATCAGTTTACATATTCCCATTAAGAAGTGAGTAATGTTCTCCATAAAACTTAAAACTTGCTTTCAACTTGATACAGAATCACAGGAGTTAAAAAAAAAAGAAAAAAATGTTAGAAGGTATCCCTGGAAGTCATCTAGTCCAAACACTTGTTTAGCACGGAAATAATTTTTAAGTTTAATCAGGTTGCTCAGGGCCTTGCCAAAGCAAGTTTTGAAAGTCTCAAAGGAGGGAGAGCTCACAGCCTCCGGGCCACCAGTTACAGAGCTCAAAAATCACTCTCATGACGACTTTTCTCTGATGAAATTCACTTGAATGCTGTGACGTTGCCTCTTCCCCTTTTGCTGTGAATGTCTGGAAGGAGGGTGGCCTTCTCTTTAGGTTGAAAGAGCCTGCAGATTCCTCCTGAACCTTCTCTTCTCCATGCTAAACCCCACTCCAGTGCAGCCCCACAAGTATCAAGGAGCTGGGTCCCTCTTCACGCTGGGCCCAGTGTGCAGTTTGCTGCTGGGACCGTGAGGGTGGGTCACTGACAGCTCAGCTGGCTCCCAATTTAGCATGAATTTCAAAGTTAAAGTATTTCATAAAGTTAAGTGAAATACTTGAAAAGCTGAATATTAGATTCAAATTGGCACAACCTGTTGATCTACACATAATTTAATGGCTATCAAAAATGGAACAAAAAGTTAATTTTAATAATATTGCCTATCAGTATATATGCACATCATATAATAGTCTCATACAGGCGAGAATACTCCTGAGACTTCATCTAAATAAAATGCATAAAGGCCTGATAAGCTGCCAAGTCCAACTAAAGCCTTTCAAGATGGCATGTTTATATACAGTATGTATACATGCCAAAATACAACTGCTGTTGTATTCTGCTGTGTATATTCTGCAGTTGTAACTGTTGCATATATTCAGGAGCAGCAGCCTAAAAGCTACTTCCCAAATGTTGCAACGTATTGACAAAATAAAAACTGACCTCAGAAGTCAACAGAATTTGAAAGATGTTATACAGATGTGCCAACAAAGTTCTCTTGATAAGATGAGGACAAGGGATTTTCTCAAAAGTATGTGGGTTTTTTTCTTGCATTTCATTTATATTATATTTGAAATTTGCTTTCTTGGGGCATGAGCAGACTATACACTCTAATAACATCATGTAGGGATATGAAAAGCAATAAGTTAACTTTTTTTCCTTAATTAATCTGGGAGAAACCCAAGTAGCAAAATATGATTTCTCCTTCTCTCTGCTCTCTACCACATCTGGTTAGAAAGCCAGTCTCGACTCAAGCAGACCAATTGGCTTTACCTTCTCTCTCTCTTCCTCAACCAATTTTAGATAATACACACCGCAAGACTCTTACAAGCCTAAACTACAGGTTCCTGGTCTTTGAAACTGAGACTGTGTTTCTATTTAAAAGATGACTGACCTTTTAGGCTGTTGATTAAACGCAAATCCCACTAACTTAGACGGGAGCTGAAGATAGACAGTAACATACGTCACGATTTCTTCATTTAGTAAGACTCCTAAATCTGTACTTAGTCTAACTTTAGACACTCCAGTTTTGGTCTAACATATTTGAACAGCATCTGTTAGGAGCCTGGTAAAAATCAATCTGAATTTCCCCAGAGGGCCACCAGGTTTCCCAGTGCCCGTATGCAGCGTTAGCATTTTCCTGGAATACCACAGTCTGAAAGAACCTGAGATTCATCACTAAGATCTGTTTCAGACTGTATCTGCCTGCTGTTGCAATGAGCATACTTCAGATCAGTGAAGAGGAAATCTTCTTTAATTAACTAATTTGACCTCCTGAGTGGATTCTTCAGATATGCAGGAATAAGGAATTAAATACTCTACTGATATTCAACAGACAAACTCCCAAAAACCGCAACAGCAACAACTCTGAACAAAACATGCCCAGGAAAAGAGAAAGCTAGGAAAAAAACAAAAAGTCACAGTAGTTGGGGCAACCATACCCATGATTCTCATTTTAAATTGCTTCCAAGAGTATGAGTAGGAAAGAGCATGATTCCTTCAAGACAAAGCTGACTGAGCTTATTTTGACACTACTATTATTCCATGGATTTGTATATGGTTTTATTTTGTGTGGAGTCCAA